CTCAGGAGGGGTGGGTCCCCTGCCCTCCCACAGGGTGTAGCCCCTCCGCAGAGCGCATGGACTGCCCCCCCCCGCAGGGCCCACAGCTTCCCCCCACAGGGCCCCAACCTCCCCACCAGGTCTCAGCCCCCACCCCTGCCAGCTCCCAGTCCCCCCCTGCAGGGTCCCAGCTGTCCTAGCTGCCTGCCACCCTCAGGGTCCCAGCCCCTCCCCACAGGGCCCACAACTCACCCCCGCAGCAGCAGCCATTGCTGCTCAGGGCCCGCTGCAGCCAGAGCCCCCAGCTGCATGGCACATCCCCAAGCTGGCGCCGCTTGTGCTGCTCGTGGCAGGTCTGGCTCAGCTTGGTGCAGCGCAGTGCAGCATGGGGCCATGTGCCTTCAGGCAGCCTCAGACCACTTGTTCTGTTGCCTGGGATCTCGCACCACTCATAGAGACCAGGTGTCATGTTGGGCCAGGTCCTGCCTCCAGTGGCAGCACTCCCGGACCCACGGTGTGTGCAGGGAGGAGCTGTGGCAGGACCTGGCCCAGTGTGGCTTCCTACGATGCCTTTGCACAGGACTGGGTGGCACAGCTCTGGGGCATGTAGCTCCTGTGCAGAGGCACGCTAGCTGTGCGGTCTGGGTCGGGTTGGGCCAGTGGGGTGCATTTTCCATGAGGCTCAGGTGGTGATGCGCCATGGCCTGTTGTAGGCACAGTGCTGCAGCCGTGCACTGCCACCTGAGCCTCATGGAAAATGCGCCCCGCTAGCCTGACCCAGCCCAGACGACGCAGCCAGCATGCCTTTGCGTAGGAGCTGTGCATCCTGGAGCTGTGCCTCCTGGTCCAGCGTAACAGTGCGCTAGCGGGCTGTGCTGGGCTGGGCTGGGTTGGGTCCCACCACGTGCTTTATGGAGGGGCTTGAGCAGGGCCACTGCACACTTGCCCCCCTGCTCCCACCCCCTGTGGTGCCAGCGGCAGCAGCCAGCGCAGCTATGGTCTGGCTGCAGGCACAGCTGGCGGCGATGCGGTGTTGTGTGACCCAGACTCTGTACAAACTGAATAGACCTGGCCCGGCCTGCTAACACACGGCTTTGGATAGGACCAAGAAAGCCCCCTACTGTGCCCTGCCCTGCTTTTTTCACCCATGTTTTATTTTGGTACCTTGATTTTCAGGTGCCAAATTTTGAGTCCGTACTGCAAATATATCAATGTGGGGAATGTATTTTTTTTGTTCCCAGCATGCATTTTGCAGTGTCTCAAACTCCTTTGAAATGCTGCAAGAGGCATTTTGTCTGGACATGCCCTACATACCATAAATACAGGAATAATGTTTCTTGGGGTCCTCCCACTAAAAGAAGCATAAAAATGTATAAGTGGTAAACAATATTAAATAACAACACAACAGTAAAAAAGTCTGCAATGAATATAGGTTTTGGTAAATTTCAAACCTTAGTTTCTCCTCTGAACCCTGTTATTTCCCAATAACCCTTCAGATTTTTCTCTGGTTAATGCCAGTTGTTCCATTAAAATGACACAATTAAAGTGAGATTAAGGAAATAAGTCTTCCATATTCCTGGTCTTTTTGGTTCTTTTTTTCTTCTTAGCAATCTTTTTGATATCCACAATTTTTTCAGATTAATGCGATCAGTCTTAGATCACTTATAGTTGTGTCTTTAAAGAAATACCTCCTGTCTAGCTCTTCACTCAAAAGCTTGTGTGGTCTGACTTCATGTAATTTAGTTGAACTCCAAAGTGTGTAAGGGAAAGAGAAAGGCCAGTAAAGGGGATGGTAGGGAGAAGAGGGCTGAGAGAGGTAGGGAAGTCTGAGGCATTGATGCATTGGGTATGTGGGGCAGGTGGAGAGTTTTGTGGAAAGGACACAGTGACTGAAAAAAGGGAAGATGGTGGCAGAGAGATTAGAACGGAACAATACCTGGTAAAGATTGTCATTTTGGTGAATGCTACAATTGATCCTAGATTGAGGGTGAAGAGGTGTATGGAAAGGGAGTTAAATAGCATATCAGAGTGAAGGCTGAAGTTCCTGGAGATTAATCATAAGGTTAGAAAGGACCATAATGATCATTTAGTTCAACCGTCTTCACTGATGCAGGATTCACTATTTCTGAACCATCTCAAATGGACACCTCCACTCTTTTTGAAACCTCCAATGAAGGAGATGCTATAGCTTCCTTAAGCAGCTTATTTGATTGCCCTTCCAGTTAAGAAGTTTTTTTCGGAGACTTGGTAGTGCTGAGGTGATGTTGAACATCCCGAGGTTTGACCTATATGTGCTTTCCTGTGATTTACAGCCATTGCCACATGTCTTGCCCTCTGTGGCAAGGGAGAGATAGGTGAGGAGGAGAACAGGTGAAGGTAAAGCTTGTGAAGGAGATTTAATGACAGAATCAGAAGAACCACAGTATTTGCCTTGAGTTCAGGAGCTTAAAGAGCAGATATGAAGATTTAATTCCTACCGATGCATATAAGTTGTGATGACCTGTGTAGTCTTAGGGGCTGAGTGCTGTAGTAAGTCAAGGAAGAAAGATCTCTAGGAAGAAGACTAGAGCTGAGAAGAGAACCAAAGGATTTTTTTCCTTCTTGCTATATACAGCCTTGTTAAAAGAAACTACACTTTAAACCTTTGCTTTAAACATTAGTTTTACAAGAAAAGTCTGTTGCATTTGTGTGTAAAGAGAAAGGCATTTTTCACATTTACTTCTCTGTTTTGTAATCACATGCATCAGAAAACTGTTTTTAACTTGGAATTGGAGGTAGACTACTGCCATATTCCAGCAGGCTGTCACATAGCTATTATCCATTCTCTTCTCTACACTGATGAAGCAGTTTGAACTAGAGAAGTTAAAAACAAGAATGGCCATGATGTGTGATCGAAAAGGCAGCATAACCTTGAAACTGTAGAATACCTGAATGGTAAAAACAGCTGTACAGAAATAAGACTACTTCAGTGGAATACATGCTGCTGAGCACTGTCACATTCCAGCATTTGGTGAAAAGACAATAGGAGTGGCTATAAATAATACAGATATTTGCTAGTGGTGTGCTGAAGAACAGCTGATTAAATATTTGATGTGTTGAGGAACTGTATTTAATTATTTGTAATGGAGGCTCATCTACACATGGCCGTATGGCCCCGTTGTTACTGTGCTATCATTTAGTACTTCCTTTCGGCTGGCAGCACACAGTTATTTTTGGCTGCTATATAGCAATGGAGTGTGTTACTACAGCAATGTAGTAGCGGATGCACAGTTTTTGCTAACAGTTGCTGTGGCACTGTAGCATGTTGCTACGGCGCCATAGCATCTTGTATAGATGTGCTCGGAGTGTATTTTTCTATTTGTGCATTGATATTGGTATCGTTTCTTAAACAGAAACAGCCGCTAGGCACAACTCCTTGCAAAACATTGAAGTAGTATATATACTTTAATTTAATTTAGAAAGTAATGTACTAGAAATTATTAGATTTATAACATTATTATAACATTAATTTTATATATGTTATTAGTTTATATATCTAATAATTTCCAGCACATTAATTTTTTCCTGTGTATAATTAACACATTTTCATGATTAAATCCTTCTGTAACAACTATGGATTATCTTCAAAGTCTCTTGTTTGTTGAGTTCAATTTTCTGATGTATATAGAGCCATGTAATCATCTTGGTACACTGGTATTCTCTTGGAAAGCAACTTACATATTTTGATTTATGAACTAATACTTATTTGCTAATATCAGACACATAAAGATAAATATAATGGAAGTTAGTAAACTGTAAACTAATAGGAGTGATGTTGACTGTCTTGAATACTGAATACAAACCTGTTTTTTTAAACAACCTCTTGAGTGCCAGAGAAGAAAGCCAAATAACCCATGAGTCTATTTGTAGCACTGATATTTAAATTGCATAATACTATACATAGAAAACAATGTTACTGAGTTAAAAATATATCTTCTACGAAACTACAAAGTAGCCTTCTAAAAGATTCAGCTGGCAATATGAAGACAAGTAATGATGCTATGGAAGGAAAAATATTTCTAGTTTAATTATTACAATGATGGTTAAATGAAGGACACATAATGCCTCCCCCACTATATAATCTGAGCTCAATGACTTCATTGTGGGTAAGGCTAAAATATTTTTAGTCTGCAAGGATTATTCATCTTTGTTAGACAGTAGGTTATTAGGATACTTATGCAGTGATTGAGGCTTTAATTTGATGATTATTATTTACTTTATTTGTTTGCTTTTTGGAAAACCTTACTGTAGTTGCATTTGATCTGAGAGACTTTAAAAGAGAAAACATAATTTTCATAATTATTATGAGTTATGAGGGAGATTAGCAATTTAATATGAATCAGCAAACCTTTGAATCTTTGGAATAATCATGGCAAATGTGATGATGATTTTTGCAATATTTTTTTCTTCCAGGTGTGTTAGAAAAGACTTGCTTGTATTCAAATGGGAGTGATATCCTAGCCACGAATGGTGACACCCCAGCGTCTGACATTCCTTTGCCAAATATGGTTGAAAATATTTCAGGCGTGGCCCCCACAGTGGATCTCAACATGCCTCAGTCCTACTGGACCACAAGCCCTTTATCCCATGTTGATAAAATGCACAAAAATACCAGTTTATTTAGAGAGGCTCTACAGGAAATTTCACTGAGTACTGTTACAGAAGCCCCAGGGCTCAATTCTGGATCTACAGATGATGATAATTTGACTGAAGCCCCTGAACACAACATGTCATCATCTGCTGTTACAGTGGAGGAAATTCTTTGGTCCACAGACACCTCCACCCAGATCACAGACAGGATGTCTGTGTTACCAACATTAAGTCCTACTCACTCAGCTGCATCGCAAGAAATGGATCTGAAAAAAAGTAAGAACATCTTTAATTTTACTCCACAATTATACCACAAAAACAAACAAACAAAAAAGACTTTGGTATGATGACTGGACTGCTTTCTAAACCCATGAATTCTGTGAATTAGAAGCCCATTCTTGCAAAATTTCATCCTGCAGATTTCATGTTTTAAGGAATCAGTTCCTCACCAGAACATATAATCAGCCTTGATGAGTAAAAGACAGAATGTCTTTCAAGGTTAAATCATTTTTCCTTTGACTGCAACTGACAGAGTGTGACAATTGTGCATGTTTACCAGGGCCGAAATTGAGTTATTGCAGATTCTAACCTTGGGTACGTGCAGACATTTGGGGAGGTTAGATCAAGTTAAAAAAGGCCACCCAATCTAAGATAAATTGGGATGAGGAGGGTTAGCACGAAGGGGGTTGGAGGGGATTGGGAGGACATGGGGTCTGCAGTGGGATCAGAGGGATCAGGGGATAAATGGGGTTGGGGGAGTTGGGATGATCAGTGGGAAATGGGATCTGTGGGAGGACTTGAGAGGGTCAGGGGGCTATCAGGGCCTGTGTGGGGGCTTGGGGAGATTGGGGGGCCTCTCTGCCAACACTCCCCAGCCCCCCGATGCTGATGAACTGGCCCCAGTCCCACATAGTGCTCCTAGGGCCAGTTTTATTAGTGTTCACAGGTCCTGGGAACCTGACTGAAGTAAGTTGGGGTGGGGGGAGGGGTGGGCAGATTGGGGAGCTAGCAGATCCTTGGGGGGGGGG